AAAGGCCTTTGACGAATAATGACTTGGCTAATCCTTTACTCCACCTTTCATAATGAAAGGCCAGACTTTTGAGAGTTTTACAAGATTAATATAAGAAACCTAATTCTAGAAATTCATTTTAGTACTTGATTCTTGACCCTTTATTTTTTGGGTTCTTAATTTCGGAGCTACCTAAGTAACTCAAGTGTATATTTAAAAAGGAGTAATGTGCTACAACTTTAGCTGGTATTGGATGACATTAAATGATAGGATTAATTAATTGGGTCCTCTAGTCCTACATATTATTGGATGTTGTATTGTAACATCATTAGTACTAGATAATATCGTTGGAATTGAGATTCTAAATTGAAATTTTGGTATCTTTCCTTTTTTAGACCTAAGTTTGTCGGGTATGACGGGCCACGAGAGTTCGAATCCTATGTCTTGTATACCAGTCTTGTTTGTTTTATTCTCACCACAAGGGACTCGTCTCTATGTACTTGGATAATAGTTTTAACGGGAATTTTCATAAATGTCACTAAATTTGAAAATCCACAAAAAATTTTCATTTTCACTAAAGATGCTAAAAAATGTCACTATTTTGGTGTGAAATGTCCAATTTTCCCTTAGTGACACCTTTTTATGAGCATTTAATGCTTGATTTGAATGTCATTAATGTTATGATATGATGATTTCATTGGTATATTATAAGCATTGGATATATGATTATTATATTGGGTAATATGAATTTTTGTAAACAAAAAAAAGGATAAAAGAATTTGAAAAGTTAATATAAATACATATCTTCTTACCATTAACAATCTGTAACTTCTTATCAATCTTCTTTATTCCTTCATCAGGAAGACTACTATTGGATTCATTATCCATTTTTGAGAGGTTAACTACTAGAAATTGTTTATATTTTTATCATATAGCTTACCATTTTGTAAATGTTAACACAACATGGTAATATTTATTTGAAATTTTTGAAACTCTTATTCATTAATTTGTTTGGTTTTTGAAATATTTTTGAAGGGTAAAGATACCAATATTATTTACAAAATGTAAAGGATTTCATATTTAATAAAGTATTGAGTTATTTATTTTTGGAAAGATGTTGTAGTTAAAAATTGATTATCACCATTAATATTTTGAATAATTTCTTCCAAGGTACCAAATACATGTTTTTAAGCTTCCCAGCAATTTCGACAGTTCAACTGTTGAATTTAACATTTCGAAACTGTCGGATTATACATCTCAACTATCGACCTCGACATTTGTCGGATTCAACCATTCATTTCACCTTTTGCTATTGAATGAATTTAAATATTCGAAAGTGTCACTTTTATGCTATTAAATGTCGACATATTAATTGTTTAGAGTTCTTACTGTTGCAATATCAACTTTTCAAGTATTAGTAATCATTTGAGATTCATAGTGTTGCATGAGAGAAAATTTGTTCATGTGGATGACGAGTGGAAATTGAGAGTGGACAAAATCACTTTTATTTTAGTTCCGAAAAGTATTACCCTATACATTCCCTATGGTAGAGTTGGCCATAACTAGACCACGTGTTCCAATCCCATTCTAACACAACTCACATAAATAGGCTTGATGTCCGAAAGTGGTTGAAATTGCATTTTGAATGTTCCCCTTGATAACATTGTACATTCTGAAGTTATATTATCATTTTCATTTTATTATCACTTAGAGACATTAGTCGAGTTTAAGTTTACAAGAAAAATAATTACATAGACAAAAATTGCATACCATCTCGACAGATGGTTGCAAAGTAGAAAATTTGACTACAAATAAGATGTATAAGGGACATGCTATTCCCGAACACATTCTCAACTTACATTATCATTTTCAACTTACATTATCATTATCATTTCAATATTATTTGTAGACATTGTATAACATCCTAATAGTTAAAATACCGGTCCTGATAGAAGGTTTCTGTCATTCTCGATAGTTAGTTACGAAGCAAAAAATGTAACAAAAAATAAGATGCATAAGGGATAAGCTGTCGCAAAACATTTGGTAAAGACGTTACTATATTCATCCATGACAAAACTATAATACATAATTTAGTATATAGACATATACAATTAGAGTCCACTTCAATCGTTGTCGACATTAGAATGGTTTCCCCACTGTCTTCATCAGAATCGTCCGAGCTTATGAAAATTATCTTGGGAGGTGGAACATTCGCAATGACTCATTATCATTGGATTCATCTTCAAACGGAACCATGAACTAGAACACATCATCAAGTACACTAGGAGGCGACTGCGAGGCTTCACTTGAAATGTCATCTAGGTTGGGAAAGGGACAACAAAAATGGCTCTCCTACCATTTGGAGGGATGGAAAAAATGGGGACGAACATGGTATTGGTAGAGGCTTATTCATGTTCAACGGTTTGTTGCTTCCTGTGAATGAATCCATTATCTTGATATGGTTGTATTAAGTGCAACTATTTGAAACGTTTGATGTATAAAGTGTCACAAAGTTGGAGAAGTGTTTAAGTGTAATTGAGAAGAAAGTCATGCAATTCTATTTATAATCAAATTCTTGGAAGGAAGCAATTATGGTCATTTAGAACATAAGCACCAAATCACAGCTTTAAGTGTTGCTTGAGTGACAATTGATGTGATAATTTAAGGTCTAAATGTACCTTTATCCTCCAAACTTTGTTCATAATTTATGAAAAATATGAATATTAAATCATGTGTACCATTTTATCTTAAAGTTTCTAGTATGTAGTTGTTGGTAATCAATTTTTATGGAAAATATGAATATTAGATCATGTGTACCATTTTATTTTAAAGTTTCTTGCATGTACTTGTTCATAATCAATTTTCATGAGTTCTTTGTATCTAAACTTCTCATAATCAGACTTCAATTAAGAAATTCAACAATTTTTTCTTGTGTTAATTGAACAATCTAACAAGTATGAGAAATGATAAATGATAAAATGTGTAACCACACGTAAATGCAACCACCAAATCGTGTTTATAACCACATTCTTGGAGGGGGAGCAAAATAAGGTCATTTAGTACATTGTCACAAATTGATTCTAATGTAGTATTAACAAATTTCGTTACACTATTTCTTTACTCTCTTTCTTATCTCCTTGGTGTATGGAGTCCTAGTAGATGCTGTAGGAAATCGAATGTGTGTGATTACCACCTTTTTGTGTTAATAAGATTGTTGCTTTCGACAGGTATGGTGGCTGCCTCCATCACACCACAAGCTAAGGGAACTTCCTCATTGTCTGGGCATGACACTTCAAGCTTTATGGCTCCTTCATCTATTTGCAAACAACATTTGCAACACTAATCGACATGAGTTCAATATTTCTAGTTTGCAAATTATGGACTGAGATGAGAGTATTTGAAACTTTGAATTCTTCATAATTAACACACATATTGTTCACCTCTTGGTTTCCATAAGGTAATGGATCCTCATGGTTATCCAAGCATGGGTTAATGCCTTCTTCATCTAGTTGAAAACAACAATTACCACACTAATGGACATGAATTCAATATTTCTAGTTTGCATGCTAATGCGAAACACGTGTAGGAAAGCAAAAAACAAATGTATAATGTTCGAGAAATACCACCTTTAACCGTCAAGAACTCCAGATCATATCAACAGATGACTCATATGTCGATATTTAGTCATCTATCGAGAATAATTGATAGAAATTGTGAAGAACGATAGTTTATCGCGACAGATGGCTCACATAACTAATATGTCGAGAAGTTCTTGTGTATCGAGAATTCATAACTGTACGGACCTTCATTGTAACAAATTAAATAGTTCGCTTAAAAGATTCGGTTGCCATGCCTAACCTAGAATAATGTAATAAATAAGGTAAGATGGATTGACAAGTATAATACAACAATTAGCTTGTACAAACCAAACAAATTCAGTGAAATATGAAGTAAAAAATTGATAGAACTTGAAATACATTTTTAGAAAAAATTAAAAAAAATTCATAGATTACACACCCAAAAACCTAGAAACAATAAAAACCCTCCCCAAAAAAATATAAACCCAAGAAATGGAGAAATTCAAACTACCTGTAAATGTACACCCTAAACAAAGCCGAACACAAAACGAAAAACAAACTAACTCATGGTCTAGATGTAGAAAACTCAAAATTGATGGTGCAATTTAAGAGAAAGATAAAAAAATAGGAACATTAGTAAAAAAACTTGAAACCAAACCTTCAATCGATCGAAAAAAGAAATGTACATATTTGGAGCCTTAAAAAGAAATGTACATATTTGGAGCCTGATCTAAGGTATTCTTCTTCCTTTTATGCTGACGTAATAGACGGGATTCCAACACAAGAAATTGGACTTCATATAGTTTTCAAAGAACCGAGAGAGGAAACATAGAAAAGAAGAAAGGAGGAGAAGAAGACATTTTGCAATGGTTGTGTGGGGAAGAAGAGTAGGTAATTGAATTGAAAAATAGAATTCTTTGGGCAAAGAAACGTATTGGAGGGAGAAAAAGGAATGAGTTGATAGTTAATAAATTTTGTTCTTATATATATATTTTTTATATATTATAGTCATTTTTAAGTACAATTGTGAGGTGATTGATTCTCACATTTTTTCCACTTTTTGGACAATTTTTGTATGTTGTCAACTTAAGGTTGGTGTAGGGTATTTAAATTTCGGACAATTTTGCAAAGATTTTATAAAAGTAAGGCTTTTGAAAATACAAAACTAAAAATTGACATGGGGTACAATTTCCTCTAGTTTTAATTTCTCTTGAAATTAATGAGGTTTGCCTTAGGTTGGTTTATGAGCGTGAGCGTGTGTGGCTACGGTTACTCTTGGACCTGTGATTTATTTACTACAGCCTAGTTTCTTCAGGCTGTAGTTAACCATGGAAAGGTATATTCGCATATTTTACGCAAGATTCTCACATAATTGATTGACTATGGTTAATGATTCCAATAAACACCCATTTGTTCTTATCTATAAATTTAGGAGAGGGGGCATATGAAATTAGAAACTTTTGAATTCATCTCAGTTCCAGCAAAAGAAGAAATGAAAGATTTGCATGGTGGTCTCCTCCTTCTCTTCAGCCACAATAATGCAAAAGTGGAAGATGATATTTGTGAGCTTCAAGAAGAGGTTGTATGGTATTATAAACCAAATTAGGCACAAGATTCAGGCTCAAACTCCAACATAAAATGTAATTCTAACTACTCTTTTAGTTTAGCTTTAGCGACTCCATTTTTGTGGAACATTCCTACGATCCTAAGAATCATCTTGAAGGTAGCTAGAGGTGACGACAGTGGAGGTGGCTGCCAGGAGCCGACACTTACCAAGGTGGTTGCGCTCAGCTGGTCATCTTCCTTTTCTCAATTTCTTTCATTTCTTGCACAAAACAAATGCAGCCATCACATCAAAACTTGCCTGTCGCCTCACAATCACTGCTCACCCTCCGCCGGACTGCTCTATTCTCCCTAACTGCTATTGCCCATCGACACTAGCTCCACTGCATGCGATGATCTGCTCCTTCTCTTCTAAAGGTAAAACCTTAATTCCTTTCCTAAATTTTAATTCTTCAAATCTCTTTCTAGGCTATTTCAATACTTTTCCCAACCTAGTATTTGTCGTTCCCTTAATTTTCTTTACAGTCTACAAATTTTCAATATTAAATAGTTGAACTGAGGAAGATTTTCATGTTGAACTTGTTCTGCTTTTCAGTACTATTATTCAATTATGAGCATCATGTACCAATTATTCAATTTCCATTGAACAAATTTGAATAATAATAAAGAAAACAGAGCAGAATAAAAAGATAAGCTAAAAATTATTGTTTTCCCCTTATTCCTTTGGCTATGAAATCTAAAGAATTTATTCAAGCAAGTAGAAGCTACGTGGTATTGAAAAATAGCAAGACAGGCGGGTGAAAAATATTAACTATATTGAAAGCTAGGAATTTGAACAGCCAAACTGGTTTTCTAGCCGTTGAGAGGAGTAGAATATTGAAACTGATGACAATGAATAAAGACAATGAAAGAGGTTTAACTAATTCCTTGAAATGCATTCCTGGTCATTATTCTTATCATCTCCCTTCAAGTTGGAGGGAGTCATAGAGTAAACCCCCAGCTTGTGACGAAACTGAGCGACTTAATCTTGAGCAAGAGTTTGGTGAAGATGTCTACAATTTGGCGAGTTGTAGAAACATATCATGTAGAGAAAAGACTTTGAGAAATTTTTTTTCTCGAATAAAATGGAAGTCCAGTTCGATATGCTAAGTATGGGTATGAAACACAATCATTTGAAGAGCACTTTTTGTATCACACAAGAATAGAGAAGAGCATGATAGAGAGATGCCTACATCACAAAAAGTAAAAAGGAAATCCAAGTAAGTTCAGCTGCAGTAGAAGCTAAGGATCTACACTGGGCTTCGGCACTGGAATGAGCAATAGTAGTTATTTTTTGACCTCTAAGAAATGCAGTTTACCCTTAGATAAACATGATATCTAGTTGTACTGCGACAAGTGAGTGGACAATTGGCCCAATCAAAGTCCAAAAAGGCATATAAGGTAGGAAAGCTTTGAGCAAGATAAAACGTATCAAGAGTACAGTCCCTTGGAGATACCCAATAATACGTTTAAATCTCGAAGATTAGTAGTGGTTAGTGTTTGAAATTATTGACAAACACGATTGACAGCACGTGTGATGTCTAGGTGATTAAAGTGAGGTAATGGATATTGCCAACAAGAGCTCTAAATTTAGTTGCATTAACTAGATTATTATCAGTAGGTGCTAGTGTAACTTTGATGGCCATGAAAGTGGCAATAGGAGAGTAGTTCTGCATATGAGCTTGAAGCTCTTTTTTCATTGTACTGACTCAAAATTGATTTTTGAGAGCTGCCTTAAAGGGTTTTTGGTTCAATTTGAGGAGAATCGATGGTGACTAACACTAATTCAGAATTCAATGCAAGAGTTGTACGAAGTTTTTGACGAGTTATCATCGGATGATTATTTTGAGAATGAGAAATATTGGACTGTACAATAGGAGTAGATGCGGAGGTTGGCAATGAGGATGGAGAATGAGAAGAAAAAGGAAGATCAACGAACAATTGACTAGAGATATATGGATGATTTTTAGTAATACAAGAACAACCGGTATGTATTTGTCTTAAAGATTCTGAAGTGATTCGAAATTTAGAGAACTAGTGTTTGATTCAGCTTCTTGAGATTTTGTTTAGATAGTGATATTAGAGAGAATATGTGTTGGAAGAATTTGGAGAAAAAGAACAATGGTCAATGCTCTAAGTGTTGGGGTTTGGAAGCCTGTAGGTTGAGAACTATTGTCATTTTGAGAAGAGTCTAAATTCTGTTGAAACCACTTATCAAAACTTGGAAATGTTACCATTTCGCTTGGTTCATGCATACATAACGAAAACGAAATATAGTTAGCAAAAGAAAATTTCATAAAAAATAACATGACGAGAAATATAAACTCGGTTGGTTTTAAGATCCAAACAATGGAAGCCTTTATGCATAGGACTATAGCCAATGAAAATGCAGGAATAAGTTTCTTGATCAAATTTACATTTAGTGTAATCCCTAAGGCAGGGAAAACACTGATAACCAAAGATCCTTAATCCACTATAATTAGGAGAATGCTTGAACTTCTATTGAAATGGGCTTGTCATGTCAAGAGTCGAGAGAGGCGTCCCGTTGATCAAATAGACAACAGTTAGAAAAGCATCAACCCAAAATTTTAAAGAAATTGAAGAAGAAACATCATAGTGATGGTTGTTTCAACAACATGTCGATGTTTTCTTTTGGCAACTCCATCTTGTTTAGGAGTATAAGGACATGAAATTTTTCTGGAGATGCCACAATGTTCTAGATGTGTTAGGAGGTTTGTATTAACAAATTCACCGCTGCCATCACATTGAAAGATTTTAATCTTCCTTTCCAAGTGATTTTCTACTTGTTTTTAGAACTTTAAAAGACACTCGAAACAAATTAGTTTTTCTTTTAGGAGGAAATAACCAAGAGAATCGAGTACAATCATCTATAAAAATGGCATAATAACGAAAATTTTGATAGGAGGAAATAACCAAGAGAATCGAGTACAATCATCTATAAAAATGGCATAATAACGAAAATTTTGATAAGAATTTACAGGAGGAAGTCCCCACAAATTGCAATGAATTTTATTAGATAATCTAAAACTTAGCTTATAACTTTTTCCTTGTTGACAGGAAGCAAAAATACTAGGTATCTTAGTTTAACTTGAAATATTAATAATTTTGCCAGAGTTTAAAATATATAACATTTTTTTAACTTGGATGACCAAGTCTTTGGTGCCAAAGGTTAGAAGTAGCAGGCGGCGATTCATGGACAGCATTAAGAGCTAGTTTGAAATCATCCTCCAAGGCATACAGTCCACTTCTTTTACTGCCCTTTGCCAAAAAGTTATTTTTTCCCTGATTCTTAACAACAAAATTATCATCAGTAAACTCAATGGAACACTTATTATTCAAAGTTAATTGACTGATAGATAAAAGATTTTTTTCTTAATTTAGGAACAACAAGAGTTTGTTTAATTTCAAATGACCCCGGTTAGAGTTTAAGAGATATTACCAACATGACAGATATGAAGACCTTGTCCATTTGCGACAAATACTCTATCATGACCTTTGTAATTATAAACATTTTCAAATTCACCTGGGTTTTTTTGCCATATACGAAGTTGCTCAGGTATCGGAAAAAAAATTTTGGTCATTTGGATCCTCGATGTTCATATAGCAGCGAGAGCTTGAGTATTATTATACTCAACATAGTCATATCTGTCCCAACAATCTTTGGCAATGTGGTTTTTCTTACTGCATATTTGACAAATATCAGACTCTGTTTGATCCTCTTGCTTCTGATTCTCAATATTTTGGGATAGTGCAACTTATTGTAGAAGTTACGTTGGTTGTGGAAGAAGTCCTGCCTTCCTCCATTGTTTTGTAGAAATCCTCTTCCAAGAGATCTGAAACAATTTCCACGATGATTTTGACCTTTTCCTCTTTAACTGAAAAAGCTTGGCGGTGATCAATATGTGATTTTTCTTCTTCTGTTTGCGCAATAATAGTTTGTTCATGACCTTGTAAGGCAATAATAAACTATTTGAAGCTTGGTAAAAGTGGTTTGGACAACACTGCAGTTTCAAAGTCAGCATATTTACGTCCAAGAGCACGAGCAATTTCAAACATTTTGTCGTAATCAGAAATTTGTCTTTTAATTGTTGCAAGACTATCACAAATGCATTTGAAAAGCTAGAGGAAATCTTCTAATAACAAAGATCGCTTTTTCAACGAGTAAAGGCTGTCCTTGAGCCAAGATTCCTTCTCTTTTTCAACGAGTAAAGGCTATTAGTGACGATATGGATGTTGGGAATGAAACTAATAAAACTCATTAAACTAATCTTGGAGATGTTGAGGATGTGGATGTTGATGTTGCACAGCTTCTTTTGGATCCTGGATTGAGAGTCGTAATACAGAATTATGATGCCAATGTTTGAGATGTGATTCGGATAGCATATGTGCAAATGGGTCCTTGTCAACCTCGCAATCATAAGTTTCCATCCACAAGAATGTGTAACAAAGATAGGCAATTTTATGTTTCATGGTATAATGAGCATCCTAGTTGGTTGGAATGTAGTATAACAAAAGATGCTGTATTTTACTTCTACTGCTATCTTTTTAGTTTGAGTGCTGGTTCATTTGTTAATGGCGGCTACTCTAATTGGAAAAAGAAAGACAATATCAGAAAACACATCAGGGCTTCTAGTAGTGCACACAATTAGGCTCGGGTCAGGCTGGGTCAAGTACGAATCATTCAAGAATAAAAAAAATAAAGCCTCTTTAAGCAATCACATCAAGCTCGAAATGATTATCGAATTTGTTTGAAATCGTTAACTGATTGTGTTTGATTTTATACGACAAGGGATTGTCTTTTGTGGACATGATTAATATGAAGATTCGAACAATCAAGAGATCTTTTTTGAACTATTGAATTTGTTGTGTGATCATAATGCTGAGACTAAGGTTGTCGCTATGGTGTATACGCCTGAAAATCTTAAATTAGCATCCCCACGAGTTCAAAAGGATATTGTAGGTGCTATTGCTTTTAAAACTCTAAATATGATTGTTAAAAGATATTAGTGATGACTTGTTTTCTATTCCAGTTGATGTATCCTGTAACATTCAGTAAAGGAGCAAATGTCAATTGTCATTCATTATGTGAAGAATGGGCATGTATTGAAGCATTTTATTGATGTCACACACGTATAGAGTACCACAATTGTCTCACTTAAGGCTACAATTAATCAATTATTCTCTAGGCATAGATTAGGTATATCTAATTTGATAGGTCAAGGATATGATGGAATTAGTAATATGCGAGGTGAGTATAATACTGTCAAAGCACTTATTTTGAAAGAAAACTCAAGTACTTCTTACATTCATCAACTTCAACTAGCTCTTTTAATTATGGCATAGAAACAATCAAGGATTGAAACATTATTTATTTTATACATAGATTGGTGAATATTGTTGAAGGATCAACTAAATAGTGTGATCTTCTTCGAAAGAAACAAAGACTTAAAATTCTTGAAACACTCAGTATTGGTGAAATATCAAGCGAAATAGGCCTCAATCAAGAAACTACTACTAAACGTTTTGGTGATAAACTAGTCGGGATCTTACTACAGCTGTTTAATTAATTTGATTATCATATTTGCAACTACAAGTGATGTTGAGATGATTGCTACCGACACTTCATGTTTTGAACAAGAGGTGATGTACGTATTTTATTGAAGTCGATGTTAAATTTTGAATTTGTATTTAATCAACATCTCATGAAAAAGATCTTGAGATTTTCAAATGAATTATTGAAAGTATTACGAAGAAAAGATCAACATATTATCAATACGATAAGATTGGTAAAATTATGTAAATTACAGCTCCAAACCATAAGGGATGGAACTCTCTCTTCTTCTTCTTCTTTTTTAAAAAATGGTTTGTTCATTCTGTAAAGCTCATGAGATCAATATTCCTAATATAGATGATATGTTTATAACTCTAAGTCAATCAGGTGTGATACATTGACAAATTTGCATAACTTCAAACGATAATTTTTTTTTTTTTGCATAACTTCCATGTGAAAATATTTTATGCCATCATTGATTTATGACTTCAAGATTGAAATGACCATTTTTTAGGTAAATATTGACTTACTCTTTCATGTTGCTTATTTGTGTCCAAATAATTCATCAGCTGCTTTTGACAAGATCAAAGTAAATTGACTATGCGAATATTATTTAATAGATCTTAACTCAGTAGATATCTCAATGCTTGATGATCAACTGGATACACAATTGTTGACATGTGCACTGATTAAGATTTCGGAGGATTATATGCTTTAGTGATCTTGCACAGAAATTGGTTGCGAAAAGTAACCATGAAGTATATCCATTAGTTTACAAGTTTGTGATATTGAACTTAATTCTTCTTGTCGCTACTTCTACGGTCGAGAGAGTATTTTTTGCAATGACTGATGTCAAAAATCGTCTATACAATCAAATCGGAGATCATTGGTTGAATGATATTTTGATTATATGTATTGAGAATGATCTATTTGATAGTATTGAAAATAATGTAATTTTAGAACGTTGTCAAAGTATGAAAACTCGTAAAGAACAATTGTAATAAGATCTTGAATGATTTAACTTTTTCACAAGTTTGATTGTTCCTTCAACTCAAAATGTTTGTGTTCGTCACTGGTCATTCCCTATTTGTATTCCATATTGGTCCAAGATTTATCAGCTAAATCCGAACAATGAAATTTGTGAAGCTACATAGTTATTTAGGAAAAGTTCTTATTACTAGAAGAAAAGTTAGATTTTTGGTGAGAATTTGATGATGGTGATGTTGATGAATTTATCACAACCCATATAACTGTTGTAAAGAGGGAAGCAGCGGCTTGTTACATTTGCAACTCCATGCTTGACGGAAATGGAAGGACTCTCAAGGGAATAAAGCTCATTAAATTAAGAGATAAGGTTTGGAGAGGTTTGGAGACTTGCCGAGTTTATTAAGTAATAAAAACCCTCCACTTTTTCCATCATCATTGACCATGGCTCTACATATCATTTCTTCTTCTTCATAACTTCATCTGAAAGGACCCATTTTCACGCTTATATAATTACTAGTAGTAAGCATGTGCGTTGCACGTCTGATTACTTCTTTGTACACAATACTTTTTTTCAAGGTCCCACAACTTTTCTTCTTTTTATCTTTTGCTTTTCCTAAAATTTTTGTTGTTTGCATTGAAACTCCATGAGAAAGTGGGACATATAGTTGCCCATGAGGGAATACATGTTCAGAAAGATATATTCCAACAGTAGGCAATGTTTGTCCTTGATCTTTGTTAATTGTCATTGCAAAATATAGATGTATTAAAAATTGTTTCATCTTAAATTTGAATGGACATCCTTCATTATGTGCTAGAGTTAATGGGATGTGTGGAAGGAAGACTTGTTTTCTAGAATGTTGTCCAACAATTTTTTCTGCATGAATAATATGTTTCTTGAAATCACAACAAATCATTCTTGTTCCATTGCAAAGACCGTTGGATGGGTCCAGATTTCTTAAAAGCATCACTAGACAATTTTTTTTTAAGATTAAATTATGTGGTAGAATACCATTTGGCAACAATGTATTTAGGAACTCTTTGATAAAATTGGTTAGTGTCATCTATTGATTCGTCAAAGCTAACAAATTCTTCACTTTCTTTAGAAAATAATACAATTAGTTTGTCACTGAGGCATTCAACATACTCATTTTTGGTTGAAAGAATTCAACGTTGTGTCATATAATCAGAAGAAGCTGAATTTTCTGTTAAATTCGAGAACACTGCATTGATCAAGTGTAATTTCGAAGTTTCATCATTGTCACATACTAAAGTTATCTCATTTGGTAAGTTGATAAAGTCATCCTCTATATTTCCATTACCAATTTGGAACAAATATTCTGCAAATTGTTCGTCATTTTGAACACGCATGTTTTGATTTAGTTGTAGTTTTTCCATTTTTTCCTAAAGATACAACCTAACCAAACTTTGGTTAATTGTTTGTTGCCCTATTGCTTTTCGGATGACAGATAGCACTTGACGAAAATATCCTCCAAATACAAAAACCTTTCCTTAAAGTTCTATCAACGGTTTCCATTGTATTTTTGTTGGCCATTGGTGCTTTATCCCATATTATGAGCTTTGCCTATCGAATCAATCTGCTGTAGCACTTTATTTTGATATACTACACATTGTTGATTTATTAGTCTAGAGAGGAATATTGAATCTTAAATGGACAAATTTACCTCATGGCATTATTGAAGCTGCTGTACTTGAAGTTGTTGTCACAAGTGCTATCATCTTTTGAGATCAAACCCTTGCTAGTGAAGCACGATATAAAAAGGTTTTCTGTACCATCAGGTCCATCGATATAAAATGCACCCCCATTTTCACTGTTTATTCTTTTAATTATAACATCAAAAGAATATTTTTGATTTGGATATAGATATGATGATGCTTGAATGTCAACATTTGGAACTTTGACAGAGCATTCATCTAAAATTTCTTTTGCATTAGGTTCATTGTTAGCATAAAAGGTATCAATTAGTTGAGGCAAGTCATAAGCAATAGTAGTCTTTCCCATTGATTGGAGGAAAAATTGTATATTTCATAAAGTGTATTGCATGTAGTATTCTAATGATTCTTTGACATTTATTCTGTAATCTTCTATCAAGTCTTCAAATTATGTGTCCCATAATTTTCTTACTTCAGTAGGCTCACAGTGGACCAATAATGTGGCAAATAATCTTCCAAATTCGAAAGGGATTTGAAATGCGACTGCCTCATCCAAACATTCAATAATGCTATGATCATATTCCAAAAGACCTCTTCTGTCTCCTTAAAGGATGAATATTGTACTCTGTTAACTGTTAGAAAGACTATTTTAACCTATTGAACTTTTATGTGCCTCATAATTAAATTTCTATGTAAGTGACACGATATCTCACATTCTAATTCAAAAGTAACGCACTGTTTGCAATTTTATTTCAAAAGTAAAGATGATGTATAAAAGTCTATAATATGTATTTTATTCTATAGTAGACAAAAAATTGAAAAAATCCAAAAATTAAAAAAAATTAAATACTCAAGTTTTTAAATCTTCCAAATTCCTTTGCTTTTGTACATTATTCTTCATAGTAACAACTGAAATGATTTTGCTTAATGTTTCTTTCCTATTTTTTTCAACTTTTGTATTCATTATCTTGTTTTGATTTGTTTCTATAACAAATGAAAACATTAATTTTATTCATATTTGTTGAAAGAATTCAAATGAGACAATGAATGATTTTCTTATAAAAGTGGTAGAATGTGCCACCTTCAAATTTCGACACCTTAATTTACATGCAAGAAAATTCAAGTATTACATCAATCACCTTTTAATGTAAAGCAGAATTTGAATTTATGTTCATATTTATATTTTCAAAAACACATTGTATGCATCTTTTAATTGATTCAAGAAGAATTTAACTAACGGAATACGCGAAGTTCTTAAAAAGGTGGCTCAATATGTCAATTTCACATTTTCATATTCATAATTTGATTTTCACAAACAGCTTTTATGCATCTCTTCAATTTGTTGAAAGTTTAATTTTCAAATATACTAACCCAATCCAATTAGTTCACATCTGAATTTCATGTATACTTACTCAAAATCAAAATCTAAAGATGAATTTTCATATGTAATAACACAAAAAATCTTAACATCACCAAATTCATAGTTACAAAATTATCATGTTTTCAACAGTTAAAAAAGTTCACAAATCAGAAATTATCTTATAATTGCTTTCTTTTTATCGAATAATTACGACAATTATACCAAATGGTCAATTGAATTTTTATTCAACCCTATAGAATTAAGAATTAAAATTGCTCATTTTGATTCACCAGAAAAAGAATGAACAACCCCAAAGATCTTGATCAGAACAGGCATATGCCAAACATGAATACCCCTTGAAGCCACGGGAATAACACCTACACTTTTATGAAAAAACCAAAGCCCCTTATTGGATTTGAACCAATGACTTACACCTTACCATGGCGTTACTCTACCACTGAGTTAAAAGGGCTTATTTCCATTGATATTTATCAGATATCGTAAACTGAGCTATTTTTAGAGCCTATCTATGTTAATCGAAAGTGGAATTCATCCTTTGTTTTTTTCCTTT